ACCAAATATGTAACACGAGACACCCCAATTTGTAACAATAAACCTAGAGCGCCAAAAATCATAAATTCTTGGTGAAAATAACAATTCTGGCGTGGGACCGATCATAAATCGATCGAAAACCATTAGACATAAACATCCGCCACAATCGTTATTCCCACCAAATGCCCAAATAGCCAACGCAGCTCAAATTCAGGCTCTTAGAATATTCCAGAAACTCATTAAAGAGAATGAGAGCATTGTTTAAAGAGAGCGAGCTAATGATCTTGAGCCTCAGCCGAGGTTTGCTAAGCGTTGACAAGACTTAATAGACTTAATAAGACTTAATAATTGAGTTCTACTGACGACTTCGATCCGTCAAGTTGCATCGTGCACAACTGTAAAATTCCAATAAGTCGCGCCTACTGTTAATAAAGATATTTTTTTTCAAGTAACGCGTAGTGACTTATTTAATTATATATATATATATGTTACCACGCTGGAAAAAAAGAAGCTTATATACAAAAAGAAATTTGTAGGTATCAAGTCGCTTAAGTACACTTACCCTACCTAAAGAGCTCTCTGGGGCGCTAAGGGTGATGGAAATAAATGATTTTGTATTTTATATATACATACATATATAGGTCTGGATCGTGTGGATTCGAAATTACTGTTTTTTTTTTCTTCTTCTTAGATGGCAGCCGCAACAGGTGAAATACGCAAAGTGAGAAATTGACTTAATTTATACAAAAAACTTTAATCTATGAACAGGAAAAACAACGGCAGCTTGATGTCAGCAGCACGCCGTCTCTGGGTTGAGTCTGGGGAGGGGAGTGCTTGGAACGGACTCATTTGACTATCGCCACGCCTCTTGGCCTGTCCTGGATAGCGTCGTGGACCGGCCGCCGTGGTTATGGCTGGGCCACAGATAACGGCTTGTGAGACGGAAGAAACAGCTGGCACTTTGATGCTTATTATTTTATTTTATTTTCATTTGGTTATATTATCTTCTGAGCATTAATTGTATGAATAAATTTAGGCGCACGACAAAAGTTTATTTTCTTTTGATTTACAGCCGCCGCTTTAAAGAAAATTAAATGTTTTGCGACAATGTTCATTAATTTAAATTTTAACTTGCGGAAAACTTTTCTAAAAAATCTTTTTTTTTTTTTATGGGGGCGACATGTAAAAAAGACAACTATCAGCTCGCTGCGAGCTGGAACTCCCGCCGTTGACCGCTGATCAAATCGATGCTGTACATTTGGGCAGCAACATCGGTGGCCAATTTCGGCACTCGCATACATTTACGAGGCGGGCACCGTTGCTGCCCATCTGCACAGCTGCATTTTTTTGCGTCAACGGCCCAAATGAAGGCCAAGGGCATATTCAAGGGCAGGCGATCCGCTCTCCTTATGGTCTCCTTAAGAGCGAATCGGGCGGCCAATAGCAATCGCCCCTTTTGGCGTCGTGGATCGGCGTTGCCACCCTTCAATAAATTGGGCTCCGCTGTGGGCCCAGCTTCACCCGCGAAACTCTGACCCTATGACAAAAGATATCGACGTGGCCGATAATATGCTGCCGATAACGTCAAATGCAACACAATGCATAACATATATTCGCAAAAAATAAACAAAATTTTTATTTTAAATAAACACACATTTATTAATACTATAAAATATCTTCATAATGCTACGTCATTCCTCTAAAAGGGAAGGTGTAGTGTGTATATGCCTTAAAAGAATACCGTATATGCAACTATAAAGTATGCGACACTTTGTTGCATATGTCGTAGAATAGGTTTCTATCAGCTCATCCTCCTGCGCTTCCACCATCGTGGCGCCAGCCTTACGTTTCCTCGACATTGACATTCTTTGTTTGTGCTTTAATTTTCGACTGACTGCAATTTTCACAATTATGCTCGCACAATACATACAGTATTGGCACACGTCTTCCTGACGTCTCCGAGTCAAAGACTATATTTCCCTCGCTCTAATGCACTGACGCAAGTAGGAAAAGGATAAGGGAAGAGATTAACGGACATAGAGAAAACGCTCAACATCGTCTGTTTTGGACTTCTTTCATTAGCGATGATACATTTCATTAGAGATCGTACTTACGATGCGACACAGACAATAACAATTATATTATACAAGCCCAAAGCCACTCTATGTATTGGCTCTGGCTCATATTACACAGCGCGGTTCACTAGCCTCACTAGCTGACACTTTATGCTTACGCTGCATATCCCACGCTCCGCCTGAGCGCATACCATGAGCAATATATGTATGTATATGCTCACTAACACAGGCAAGCTACACACTCTCCCTCTCTTTGTAGCTGTTAACCGATAATAGCATAAGTACATACATATGTGTATCCATAGGGTTAGCGCATAATTTTAAATACGAATAAATCCATTCTGAAGAAAGATACAAAACAGCACTGACGAGCTGGTCGTTTCAAAATATATTCTTATTACAGTACCATGCACAGTGAGCTTTCCCCGAGTAACGTGATCGAGGCTACTGAGAAACCATTGAACTTCTTCAGAAGGCAGATGGTACTGGAAGAGGCACATGTTCCGTTAAAGCGAACTTTCAGAAATTGTACCAAAACTTGTGCTCGCCAACATTGTGAACGAAATTTTAAGAGACAAGAAAATAGAAGGAAATTTATACATTCAGCATTTTGGCAATAAATAGAATACTGACACTACACCTTGAGAATCTGATGATTGCGATCACGTTGGCCAATATAAATGTAGCAAATCCCACAATTATTTGACGACTGTGATTGGAAAGTAATACTGGATAAGAATTTACCAAGTATTAACATAACCATAACGAAACCCTTGATTTTTAATATTATTCGTCTCTTTAAAAGGGAAGAAATGCAAACGAAATTTAAGAAAAATTCAATTTATGAGCACTATTTCTTTTGCAGACCCATACACACACATACATTTAAACGATCATTAAACATTACTGAGAGAGTACTGAAAGTAAGCGAAATCAGTTTCCTATAGTGGGAGCGAAGTAAGAAACAGCATTGCTGTTCTAAGTTGTGTTATGTTGTATGTTTAGAGGTGTAACCCAATTAATAAATCTAACATAATCCACTTTATCATACAAATCCCTAAACCTTATGTATGTTTTGTTTCCCTGTCGCACACGCCGACAAAATTTTACAAATACCAGAATACATCGTGGTGGAGTGCGTTGAAAAAAATTGAGGCGTTCAGCTTATGCAACGGATCCACTAAAATCGCGTCCTGCAAGGGGGCGATTGGCAACACATGCGCCCAAGAACTACATGCTGAATCCGTGACACACTGCAACTCTCAACCGAGCCACCAATTACCATAGTAGACATACGACCGCGTCGCACTCATAAAGGCACCAGGTACGTAAACTTTAACAATACCCCAAAAAAATTCCCGGTTCAGCTGCATAGTAGTCCCTTGACATTATAGAATACAAAAACTTTTGAATCTGCCATTTCTTCCCACGCTAAGCCGAAGATACCTACGTTCCAACGAGAAGATGAAGACAGATGATGCATTAAACTCGTGATCAGGGTGGCAATATGCGCAATATATCATATTCCTGGTACGCAACAAACGGAACCAAACTGTTTTGAAACAGTCAGAAGTTAACATAAGTAGTTAATAAGCAAATAAATTGGGTCTCTATCTCTATATATAAAACTGTTTGTCCTGACTGACTGACTGACTGACTGACTGACTGACTGATTGGTGATCAACGCACAGCCCAAACCGTAAGAGCTAGGAAGCTGAAATTTTCACTGTAGTTACCTTATGTGATGTAGGTGCACGTTAAGACGGGGTTTCGGGAAATTCCACTCGCAAGTGTGGAAAAATCGCGAAAAACGTTTGTATGTAACTTTTTTGTTTACCATCCGATCGGCCCCAAACTTATTTTCAAAGATCTTTGTTCAAATTCATTTGAGGGGTGTTTC